CAACTACAGCAATGAACAGCAACCAGACAACTTGACTACCAGCGAGTGATGATGTCAACACCAATGCAGACCTCCACCATCACCAGGTACGTGTCATCTTCCCCACACTCTCCCTTGTTACCCACACAGCGCCCTTCACCTCCGAAGTACCACCTTCGCCCTCACCTCCCCTGCACCCTCTTGCGGCCCGGCTATGGCCGCCAGTGCTCTGCAAGCGGGCAGCGCCCTACCACCTAGCGCTGCCCTGCTTCTTCTTAGTGCAGCGCTGCTCTGCATTAGCGCAGCACACTTGCATCTGCGCAGCGTGCCCGCATATGCCAGCATTGGCCAAGATCCCCGTTGCCTCGCCCTGCTTGCCTATATGCCAGTGCAGTGTGTGGGCGGCCTCCCTTCAGCCTGTGACCGGGGCCCAGAGGCTGAAGCCAACTCGATACAGTTGGGCCCCGGGGTAAGGCAATTGCGCCTCCTTCATCAAGGCCTGCGGCCAGATTCAGACTGTGGGTCGATTTCCCTTTGGCATTTTCGGCCTCTCTTCCCAGCATGCATTGTCGGCCTCACGTTCAGATGCCCAGGGCCTAACCAACTCAGAGGCCCTGGACTTTCAGCATTTGCTGAAATCCGAGACTCGGTGCACTCCAACCAACTGGCGTACTGCAACTGTATGAACCCCACTTCGTCTTGTCGATTTGCTGGCCCGCCTTCACTTAGGGCGGGCACTAGGCTTGCTAGGGCCTTAGCCCAGAACATGTACATCATGGCAAGGCCCCTACTTGAGGGCTCAATCCTCACACTATCACCCCCACCCTCCTTTTTAAAGTTTTTGGGTGGGAAGTACCGTCCCTAACCTGCCAGTAACACTTCCAGGCCCCTTTTTAAAGTTTTTGGGTGGAGGGTTAACGTTTGCAGAAAGCCCAGTACGTTGTTGTCAATGTCTGCTGAAGCCTGTAGTTGCTGAAACCCCTCCACCAACACCCTCACCGTAAACCCCCCAACCCCGGACCCTCAACCCCTGAAATAACCCCCCACACACACAAAACAACCCCCCAAACGAAACTTCTCTGTTCAAAGTTTTCTTTGTGGATTCGGGGAGATCTCGGCGAGCGCAGTCCAACCATGTTTTCACAAAAAAAAAATAAAAAAAAATTGACCCAGTTTTGGGCCCAACCGAAATTCCGGTTGGACCGCCGGGGGTCCAACCGGCCCGGTCCAGCCGGCCGGTTGCCGGCACAGCCATGGTTTTGATACATTTTGTGACCGAATTCATCCTAAGATGAAACGATTGCAAAGTGCCTTGAATTTTTTTTATTTTCGAAGAGAAAATCAAGATAAATGAAGAAGGAAGTAGACCGGGATGCAACGGATCACAAAAAGTAAAGCAAACACATGTTTCAAGTACATCCGGAGCCAATATTGGGCTCGCATGCACTTGAGGATGTGCCGCTTCATTTTGTTTCAGTTTGAGGCAAGTGTGGGGGATGTGGGATTAGAAAAAGGGTCACCATTGCCATCCGAGATGTAACGGACTACAAGGGAGTGTCAAGGCCATGAGAAATTGAGCCTTGACGACTGCAAGGCACTGGAAAAGAGAGCCTCAAGCATGAGGACCAAATTACGACGATGAACGGCGACCGCGAGATCAAAGATCACATGACCAGGAATATTTGGCATGCTTGAGACACATGAGGAGGAGGAAATTGGGAATGTCGGGGACAAGGGATTTCCAAATAAAATTGGGACGATGTGGGAGTAGTGTCGGGGACCACATGAGGTCAAATAGAAATATAAAAAATGAGCACTGGGACCGGCGGAACCACGACGGGACTAGTGTCGAGGACTAGTGCGGAACAAGTGTCGGGGACTTGAGATATCCCAAGAGAACTGTGGAGCATCATGAGGAATGAATCATCAAAGAAAGATGCATCGTTGAGATCGAGATCTAATAGCTCAAAATATTAGTAGCACTAGTGCAAATTCTAGCGGGATCAAACGGGAGAGCAGTAGAGGGCAAAGAAGGGAAGAATTAACTTCAAATAAGGAAGATGGGTGTAAATTGCAGGCCGAGATATCTCAGACCACCCTGATTATAGAAACTAGAGACTTGAGAGGCCCCATGAGAGAAATAAGCTACCAAGGGAAAAATGAAGCAAAAGGGACCACAACTTGGAGCTAACTGCGGCGAAAGGGGGCTCCCTTGGGCATGAGGGTGCCATAACTGCAGTCCGAGAAATAATGGACTGCCCCTTGGGCATGATCTAGGCCTAGATCAAAAGTCATGGCCTAGAAAAAACCTCAACAGCTAGTTGACACTTGTCATGTCAGAAAATAAAAGAAAAAAAAAAAAAGGAGAAAAAAAAAGGAGAATGAAACAAATTAGGAGGAGAAGGTGGGAGTGAGTTGGCCGTCAGTAGGGACTGGCATAGTAGGGATTCGCAAGTCCCTACTGTTCGAATCTTGTGGGGGAAAATAAAAGAGAAAAGAAAAGAAAAAGAAAAAGTAACACTAACCGTCAAAAAGAGCCACTTGGGAGATACATTTGTGACTGGATTCATCCTAGGGTGAATTGGTCACAAAGTATCTTAATTTTCTTTAGATTTTCTTGAGAAAATAAAAAAAAGTAAGACCTCTTGCAACCGATATACAACGGATTGCAAAAGGGAAGAGAAACACATGTTTCAAGTACATTTGAAGCCAATATTAAGCTCGGATGCACTTGGAAATGTGCCGGTCCATTTTGTTTCAGTTTGAGGCAAGTATGGGGACAATGAGACTAGGAAAAGGACCAGCATTACACTAAGGGGATTAGCGGACTGCATGGAGGCGTCAAGGCCAAAGGAAAATGAGCCTTGGCACGCTCAAGACGCTAGAAAGTTGTGTCTCAAGCATGGGCAAGTGGAGGTTGTAAATGGCGACAGTGAGATGTGGATCTAGCAGTCGAGAATATTAGGCAGGCTTGGGCCACATTGAGAAGTAAGACTGGGACTGACGGGGACTAGGAAGTCCCAAATAAAAATAGGACATCATGAGAAACGGTGTCGGGGACTAAATGGACCAAAAAAAAAAACTCAAGAATTGGGACATGTGCTGGTGGGACTACCGGTGGGACTAAAAAATGGGACTAGTATGAAAGAAGTGGCGGGGACTTGATGGGTCCGAAGGAATCATGAGCCAACATGAAGGATGGGCAGGCAAAGCAAGTCACACCGTTAAGATTCAAATCTAGCGGTGAAAAATATTAGCAACTACTAGTACAAGCACATTCGGGTCAAGGTGAGAGGAAGTCGGGGTGAAAGGAAGGAAGAAACCAAGAGAGGAGGCCTACCTTGTAGTCCGAGATATCTCGGACTTGCCTAGTAAACGAAAATAGAGCCTTAAGAGACTCTTATGCAGAAAATAGGCTTCCAAGGAAAAATCGGAGCAGGGGAAGTCAAAAGTTTAGACTAACGGAGGCAAAATGAAGCTCTATGAGTATGGGGGTCTCATTATTGTAATCCGAGAAATAACGGTCAACAACTTGATCTAGATTTGGCTCTAGATCAAGATCAATGACCTAGAAAAGGTCTCAACAACTACTTGACACTTGTCACATCAGAAATAACAAAAAAGAAAAAAAGGAGAAAGAAAGGGGGGAGGATGAGACAAAGGAGGAGGGAAATGAGCCGGCCAGTTGGGACTGGCACAGTAGGGACTGGCGGGTCCCTATTGTGACCTCATCACTCCGGATTTAGTGGAGGCAAATCCTTAGTTATCTCGACAATATCTGAATTAAAAATGTGAAAATGAGAGAAAAAGCAGAAAGGAGTTGGCCGTTTTTTTTCTAGGCCATAGATCTGAGATCAGATCTCATGGAGGAGACAATATGGCCGTTTTTTGTGGGGCCAACTCAAACGACAAACTCCGGAATGAGTTGGCAGCCCAAAATGAAAAGAAACAAAAGAAAAGAAAATACGAGACAGTACATTTGGCCAAAAACAGAGGCTAGATGCACCAGAAATTGAGAAGGTGGGCCATGGGGCAAATATGAAGCATGGGGCACTTGTGGCCAAAAACAAAGGCTAGATGCACCAGAAATTGAGAAGCTCGGAATATTCCTGGCCTTGGATCTCAGACAGATCCAGGGCTGAAATTGAACCGAGGTTCGAGAAAGTACCTCGGCCTATCCCAAAGGGGGCAGGACTAGAGAAAATCAAGGAAAAGGCCCATAAGGCCTTTTTCTTTCAAGAAAGGCTGCCCCTTGATTATTAGGACCAAGGGGCAGCATATGAAAATCAGAATGAGGCATGAGGAGGCCCTAGAGGCAATCCGAGTTGGTACCAACCACTCGGGCTGCATGTACTTGGCCAAAAAGAGGCCAGGTACTCCCGGAGAGGCCGAGTAGTGGGAAAAACCTTGGGGGTATGTCGCTTCACCATGAGGCACATGGAGAGGCTCATGGGCTGGCCGAAGTGTTGTGCCCAGCCTATATAAGCTGGGGGAGGAACCGGCCACACTCACATTTGCATGAGGCGAGTACATGCTGGCCGCATGAGCCCAGAGAGCACTTCACTCAACAGGAGTGAGAGGAGGGGAACCGCTGCCAATTTGGGAGTTTAAGGGACATACCAGGCTAGGGAGGAGAGCTACTGAGGCTAGTAGAGGCAGTGCAAGCCTAGGGGAGTGATCCGCCATAGCCCTCAGACTGTGTGGAAGAGAGGAAGGCTAGTAGGGGTCCCCTTAGCCCTCCTAGTGGGGAGGACTTCTTAGCCTTAGTTGTAGGAGTTTGCCATAGCTAGGGAGAGACTGAGGGAATGAGAAGGATGAGGATTGGAGAAGAAGGAAGCCATAGCTAGAGGACAAGTGTGCAAAGGAAGGAAGAACTCCATCAAGATTGACACCTCAAGATCAAGACACCAGAAGAGGTGAGTGGGAAAAGGAGACTGTGCTCTCTTTCTTCATCACCTTCATACCTTCTTCCTCCTCCACCTCCTTCACCCATCCACCATAACCAATCAGCTTCATACCTTCTTCCTCCTCCACCTTCTTCACCCATCCACCATAACCAATCACCTTCATACCTTCTTCTTCCTCTACCTCCACCCGTCCACCATAACCAATCACCTTCATACCTTCTTCCTCCTCCACCTCCTTCACCCATCCACCATAACCAATCACGTTCATACCTTCTTCCTCCTCCACCTCCTTCGCCCATCCTCCATAGCCAACTACCTTCACACTTTCTTCCTCCACCTCTTTCACCCATCCACCATAGCCAACCACCTTCACACCTTCTTCCTCCTCCACTCCCTTCACCCATCCGCCATAGGCAACAACCTGCCCGTTCACCCATCCACCATAGCCAACCACCTTCACACCTTCTTCCTCCTCCACCCCCTTCACCCATCCGCCATAGGCAACAACCTGCCCGTTCACCCATCCACCATAGCCAACCACCTTCACACCTTCTTCCTCCTCCACCTCCTTCACCCATCCACCATAGCCAACCACGTTCACACCTCCTTTCTCCTCCACCTCCTTAACCCGTCCCCCTTAAACAACTACCCCACACCTCCTTCATCCCCCACCTCGATGGCCAACCGACACAGTGTTCAATGAGATATAGAATTGCGAAACATGGGATGGAACTTAGGTAGGACGGTAGGACGAGTAGGGGATAAACTTTCATTAGGAGTACGGGGTCTCTCTCTCTCTCTCTCTCTCTCTCTCTCTCTCTCTCTCTCTCTCTCTCTCTCTCTCTGCCTCTCGCTCTCCCTTGCTCATCAACGCCCTCTCAACTACCCCTCCCGTGCTCTAAACCCTCTTGGCATGCGGCTAACCCTTCCCCACTTGCTTGTCACATTGCCAGGGGACGAACGGGGAAAGAGCTTTGGCCTCACTTGGTAGAAAGAGAGGGCAAGGGGAGGGTCGCCCATCGCTTGCGCCACGAAGACTGAAAAGTGCTTGAGGTTGGGAAAAAACTTGTAAGCTTAAAACATTGAAGGATTCATAAGGACTTGAGGATTGGCAAGAACCCAAGATTTGAAAAGATTTAAAGGTCAGTGGACTCGACCAACACCCCGACTGCATGAGAATGAGAAGAGGATGGCTTGGACATTGTAAAGGAACAGACAAGTAAACAACCAAGAGGGAAAGAACATAAGCATGTGGGAAGGAAGAACATAAGCATGTGGGAAGGATTATGTATTGACCCCGAAAGGGGGTTGTGCGTGTTTATATTGCATTGAGCGTGCAGATGAGTAGTCCTTAAGATGCCTTCAGCTTGATGGTGCCCGGATGGGCCGGGTGGCTAAAAGGGGACGAAAGCCAAAAAGGGTTGTGAACGTCACCCTCTTCCCCCTCATGGATGAATCTTTATGCGTGTCATTGAACGAAAATGGTCTGAATGGTTGTGGTATGCAAAACGTCAATTGGTCGATAAGGCCGCTGAGTCACATGAGTATACGGGTGGGGCCCTGAAAAGACTAAGGGGTGTATAGACAATCAATGAAATACGATGCATGAGACATGAATGATGTATGAGGTAGTGGAGGCCAGCACGGCTAGAGGACCGCACGGAGAGCGCCCTAGGGAGGCGACGGGGCCCGACGTGACTTAGTCCACGACCCTAAGCCAAGGGGCACCTGTCTATCTCAATGACGCCGCGAAGGTTCTGCACTCAGTGAATGGATGTGTGGCCCAAAGAGGACGCTTGGCCTACGTGTACAAGAAAAAAATTTATCAAAGAACCTCTACTGCTGGAGCATTGGAAAGAGCAATTGTCTTCGAACATAACATATTGTCGACGAAAGGACGCTTGCGAATGATCAGTAAAACTTACCCACCTAGCGAGAAACCTGAGCTACATCCCGGAATGTCAAAGCTCTCTCGCTCCATGGCCCACCCTCATCCATCTCAAAGCACTAGGTGGCCCACCCTCATCCATCTCAAAGCACTAGGTGGGGTGACTCTGTGATGAATGGCTCTGCGCCCTGAGCATGCGCTTGGGCGGAGCTGAGCCACCTGGGACCCGCACAAGGGTCGACTCAAGCTCGAAAGTCTAATAGGGTGGGGCCCTACACCGAACGCATGTTCGGTCAGGTCCTGACATCCGGACTTCCGGACATATCCGGACCTGTGGACATGCATGGTTCCGGACGGTCCGGACCTGTAAGCAGGTCCAGAAATGTTTGGACCGTTAAAAAAAACAAAACTAAAAAATTTTGAAAAAAAAAATGTTATGCAGAATAACAATGCAAAGCACTTTTGCTTCAGACTCATGTCAGAATTCCTAACCAAACTTGAGTTAAAAGTAAGAAAATATAAAAACCTAGGCTACCAGCCGGGCCACCCGGGTCACCCTATTTTCCCCGACGGCCCGACCGTGCAAGGACCAAGGAAGGTCCTAGCAAAAAAAAAAAAAAAAAAAAAAAAAAACCTATATTATGAAGAAAAATAAACTGAACAACTTTTGCCTCAGGGTAAAGTTAAAAATTAACTTTTATTTTTTTATTTTTTTATTTATTTTTGGCCCGGCCAGGCAAGTGGCCCCGGGCCAGTCTAGTAGCCTAGATAAAAACTTTAAAAAATACTTTAAAAATTAACGAATTATTCATAATTAATTAATTACTTAGGTATTAGTAATAAATTATCATAGAGATAGACCATGTTCGGACCCCCCAAAAAAAAAAAAAAACGGGCTTGGAAAACCCCCAAAACAATTTTGGGCGCTTTGCTCCTCAGTGGGGAAGCGTTGTGGACCTTTTTTTTTTTTTTTTTTTTTTTTTTTTGCAGATTCGGACCTTTCGGACAGGACGTCAGCAATCCAGACTGAATCCAGATCGTCTGGACCGTAGCCATAAAGAATATAGAGCCATATATCCCATCAACAATGGTAAAAGGAGTTTATGAGGATCCTACTCGTTGTGATCAACGCTTCCAACTATTCAATGTCATGACAATTGAATTACAACTTTGTACTTGACTCTCTTGTGAGCCTCCAGGCACAAAGTGCAACAATTGGACACGAAGTGGTGGCCAAAATTGCTTCAAAATGTATCCTATTTAGAATCTCAAAAGAATCTAGTCATTACCCTACAACAAAAAAAATCTCTCTTTTTTTTGTTCACTTTACTTTCTTGTTTTAACCATCTAACTTTTTGTTTTGTTATGAATATAGAGCTCACATAGTGCCTGAATTTTTTTTTTTTCCTGTTAATGCAGTTCTTCATAGTATACCGAATAAATTAGAAGGTGTTGTTGCAATAAGTTTTGTCTTTCTTTCACTATTTGCTTCACCTTTTATTAACACTTCATATGCTTCCAAAACATTAAGTTGGACGAATTTGGAAACATGTGTAGCATCGTGTTTAAACCCGAACGTCCGCGACTGAACACGAACGAGCGATAAAACCCTCCGAATACATACACAAAAATATTAAAATATATATGAGTCGGTGAAACTCCGACGAAACAGTTTGTAACAGCCTCTCGTTTGTTGTCCTCTTCTCTCTCTCTGCCTACGGTTTACTGGGCAATTCTTTTTGTGACGATATATATAACGTTGCGACTTGTGCTCACCCTCGTACAAGTACGAGTCGTACTCCTTACTCGTACGCTAGGGCCTGTACAACTTTTTCTTCCCCCTTAAATTATATTAAGAATCTGCAGATAATGCTCAACCTAATGTTGCTTGTATTGTGTTGTTGCACCACATATTTTGTTTTCGTTTTTTTTTAATGATTTTTTTTTTTTTTTTTTTTTTTTTTTGTACGGTAACATACAAGACGTACAGGTTCCCGTACAGGTTTGCATATAGATATTACATGTACGTTGCGTACGAAAAGGCCCCGTATGTGTACTTTCGATAAAGTAGTGACGATATATATAAAAACAAAAATGTTATGTAGAATGATAATGCAAACAACTTTTGCCCGAGCGGTATGTACAAATTCGTAACCGAACTCGAGTGAAACTCTGACGAAACAGTTTGTCACACCGAATACTCAAACATGTTTGGCTGTTCAGAAAACCACGAACATGTTCGGTGTGCTACACGGTTGGAAACTTTAGGAAATTCACTTTGTACCACTTATTTTTATTTGTTTGTGGTTTCTAGTCTTATTTTATGAGGAGTTCCCATGTCGAATTTGACTTTGTTATGTTAATTTACGAATGACTAAGCTACCAAAGTGGCCCGGGTCCACTTGCCCGACCGGGCCAAAAATATATTTAAAACTACGTTGTTTTATCGGACGTCCGGGACCCCCCTGACCGTCCGGGATGTTCGACCGGACGTCTGGTCGGACGTCGGATCGGACAGGGGTTGTCCGACGTAGCGCCAAAAAAAAAAATAAAAAAATTGAAAAAATCCATGTGGCTTCTACCTTGCATAAGGTGTATGCCACCAAAATTTTGGCTCATTTGAGCCAGTAGAAAAAAAGTTAAAATTCTTCAAAGTTTCTAATCCCCACCTATACCCCTCCTATCCCCACCAAAACCCCTCGTACCCCCCCCTCCCMCCCCAAATAGCACCCTATCACCAAATGCTCAGAAAATTCTGAATTTTTTTTATGGGGGATCTCTATGGCATGCGCAACACTTTTTTTTTCTTTTTTTTTTTTATGTCAAAAAGTGGTTGTCCGAGATCCCAGACAACCCCCCTACCGGACGGTTGGGGGAGACGTCCGGCCGAGATGTCCGGCCATCGGACGACTGGTAACCTAGATTTAAAAAATAAAAATAAAAATTACTTTTTATTTTTTTTATTTTTTTAATATTTGGTGAAGAATTTTGATATGAACCTGAGGCAAAAGTTGCTAAGTTTATTTTTCTGCATAACATAGTTGTTTTTCATACTTTCTGTTTTTTTTTTTTTTTTTTTTTCGGTTGGGACCTTCCCTGGTCCTTGCACGGTCGGGCTGCCTGGAAAAATAGAGTGACCCGGGCGGCCCAACGGTAGCCTAGACGAATAATGAATTCAACATTGAAAATTATTATCGAGGAAGCTCGAATTTGTTTTTTGTGGACAAGAGCATGTGGTTTAATTCGATTCAACGTGGAAACGGAAGTCTGGTGAGTTTGGCGACGAGTCGTTGCGGCGCCCGAAACCAGGTGACTCTGGCGATATGGCAGATGTGAAGCGTCTGCTTTGGTGAGCAGAGTGAGCGCCCACACAGTTGGATAAATAAATAAGTCATGTCCATCTCGCTGCAGATTACTAAAAATTAATAAGAAATTAAATTCAATAAATGAATAAATATAGGGTAACCTGTTGTTCATTCATTCTGTCGATTAGGGGAGGCTACGGTGCTTTTTTTTTTTTCCTTTTCTTTTCTCTAAGGTTTCACTGGATCAAGTGATCAGTTTTTCATTACCTGTATCACTCTTCACTCGACTCGGGCCTTTTCTTTAGAGTCCTATTCAATATGGATTAATATCATACATAATGAAATTAACAACGAAGAGTAGACATAGAGAATTACCATAAGATAATAATAGAATAGATCCATCATACACTCTTGCCCCCACAAGTACATTACATGTAATTCATGAATGTATGAAGGTCACAAAGAGGGAGATGCAGGATTCGAACCTATGTAGTAATATAACCTTCAACAAATGTACAGTCTGGTGCTTTCAATCACGCAGCCACTCTCCCTAAGAATTCATCATCCTACATGATTTGAACTTGTGACCTTCAACTTAAAAGGTTGTCTGTTTATCAAGTTGAGCTAAGAATCCAACTCACCCAAAGAGTCAACTCAACCGCCATAACAAAACAAGCAACTT